CTTCTGTCTACACCCCTCCCCTGTGCTCTCAATCATTTCAAGACTTTAAATAGCATCTATGTCTTCCCCACTCCCAGTTTTATTGAGCTATAATTGACATATAACATTAGTTTAAGGCAGTGGTTCTCAACCTTCCTAATGCCGCGACCCTTTAATACAGTTCCTCATGTTGTGGTGACCCCCAATTTCATTGTTACAAATTGAACATAATTAAAGCATAATGATTAATCACAAAAACAATATGTAATTATATATGTGTTTTCCGATGGTCTTAGGCGACCCCTGTGAAAGGGTCGTTCGGCCCCCAAAGGGGTCGCGACCCACAGGTTGAGAACCGCTGGTTTAAGGTGTACGACATAGTGATATACATATACATTGTGAAATGATTACCACAATAAGTTTAGCGCCTCACAGTTACATTTTTTTTAAATGAGAACTTTCAAGATCTACACTCTTAGCAACGTTCAAATATGTAATATAGTATTAACTATAGTTACTATGTTGTACATTACAACTCCAGGACTTATTTCTCTTACAACTGGAAGTTTGTGCCTTTTGATCACATTCACCCATATCATCCACCTCAGGCCTCTGGCATCTACCAATCTGTTGTTTCTAAGAGTTTGTTCTTTTTAGATCCCACATATAAGTGAGAACATAGAGTACTTGTCTTTCTGATTTATTTCACAGCATAATGCCCTCAAGGATGAATGGATAAAAAAAAATATGATCTATATAATGGAATATCATTCAGCCATAAAAAAGAAATCCTGTCATTTGCAACAATATACATGGACCTTGAGGACCATCTATATCAGCGGTTCTCAACCTGTGGGTCGCGACCCCTTTGGCAGTCGAACGACCCTTTCACAGGGGTCGCCTAAGACCATCCTGCATATCAGATATTTACATGACGATTCATAACAGTAGCAACATTACAGTTATAAGGTAGCAACGAAAATAATTTTATGGTTGGGTCACAACATGAGGAACTGTATTTAAAGGGCCAGAAGGTTGATAACCACTGATATATGTATCAACTCCTAATTTCTTGTCTCAGCCCAAACCTCTTCTCTGAGCTCCAGATATCAGCTTCATATATCTGACTGCCAACATCTCCACCTGGTTGTCTAATTGGCATCTCAAACTTAAAATGTCCAACATGAACTGATTTCTCCCAACCCTGTACCTCCTGCAGGCTTTACTGTCTCAGTTAAGTATACTTCCATTTACCCACCTGCCCAGGCCAGAAGGCATGGAGTCATCTTGAATACCTCTTATTCTCTCACATCTCATATTCAGGGCATCAACAGAGCGTGCCAGCTTTATCTTTGAAACATTCAGAATCTAACCTCCCTTGTTCAAGCTGTCGTCTTGCATGGATTACTGCAGTGGCCTAATTGATCCTCATGCTGACGTGCTGTGTGGAGGGCTCACCACGCAACAGTCGACTCAGCCTTCCACTCTGTTCAGACATTTCCATCGGCTTCCCACTCATTCAGTGTTTCTACTGCCTCCAGGAACCTACTCCAAGGCCCATGTTACCTCTGACCATATATCTCACCACTCACCTCAGCCACCCTGGTCAGCCCAGTGGCCTCTTTGCTTTCTTTTTGACACATCAAGCAAACTTCCACCATTGGATATTTGCATCTACTCTTCTGCCTACAATGTTCTCTAGGTATCTTCCTGGCTCTTTCCTCCACGCCTTCCCAATTCAGTTCCTGCTCTGAGTCCTTCCCTTAATCTTTGTGAATTAGAAGCCCTTCTGTCGTGGTTTTTAAATATCTCCATAATCTGGCCAGTGTGGTTCAGTGGTTGAGTGTTGACCTGTGAACCAGGAGGTCATGGTTCAATTCCTGGTCAGGGCACATTACAGGCTTGATCCCCAGTGTGGGGCGGTCAAGAAACAGCCGATCAATGATTCTCGTCATTGATGTTCCTATCTCTTCCTCTCCCTTCCTCTCTCTGAAATCAATAAAAATCTATTAAAAAATAAAATATCTCCGTAAGTATTTTTATATTTCTCCCTTTAAGAGATGAATCCTAATGCCCTTACCCTTGAATGTGGGCTGGACACAGTTATGTATTTTTTTTAATATATAAAAATCCCTACCCTCTGCCCTCTAGTCCCCCAAGCCATGCTTGTCTGCCTCTGCACATTCAGTGGTTCTCCACACTGTGAGCTCAGCCTTAGAGAGGGCTTGACTGCCCCAGAACTCACCACATAAAGCTGTGTAGGGAAGGATTGGGAATATATACTGGTTGGATTGGGAATAAGGACACATGTAATAACTTAATAAAAAAAAATTAAAAAGAAAATACGAGTTGGATCACCAAGGCTTCCGGGGGGCGGGGGAGGGTCTGACATTTAGGTCTGAAATCCGAGTGGGAGGACCCTGGAGTGAACCAAAGGTGTGAGCAGGACTGAGCCTCAGTGTGGCCAAGGGTGGGCCAAAGAGAGCAAGGACTTAGGACCACAGTGGGATCCAGGCTGGGGACAAAGGTAGAGGCTGGAGATAGGGAGAGTGAGGGTCACCCTGGTGACCCAGGGCAGGGCAAGCTGGGTCCGAGAGGAGAGGACTGGTTGCGGGGAGGGGAGAGGAAACAAAAGTCACACCTGAATATCTGCCTCTTGGGGGACTCTTGGCCCTGGGAGGAATCTTGCTTCTCTGGGTATGAGATCAGGGGATGATCCTCTGTGCTGGGTTTGGGTTTGACATAGCAGTTTCACACCCATGCCAGGTCACCCATACAGACAGATGTTGTTCTCACACGGCATCACCTCCAGGTAGCCCTCCTGCTTTTGGTAGGGTGATTCCCTTACATACAGGAAGAAACTGGGATATGTATGAGGGTGCCGGAGAGGAATGGGGTCCACACTGCTCAGAGCAGGAATTGCGACCTGCCATCAGGACCCCCAAATAAGGAACAGCATCTGGGGATCATGGGGGATAGGGTAGGCCTGAGTCAGTGGGCAGAAGGGGTCTGGAGATACAGACTAGGGAGTCACACACATGGGTGAAGATGGCCAAAATGCTGATCACTGTTTGAATGCATGATGAGCATCACTTTTTGTATATAAGCTTGAAGATGTCTGTAATAGAACGTCCAAAAAGCTTTAAAAAAAACTGAAGGAAAACAAAGCAAAGCCCGGCTGGCTTGGCTCAGTGGTTGATCGAGGACCTATGAACCAGGAGCTTACGGTTCGATTCCTGGTCAGGGCACATGCCTGGGTTTCGGGCTTGATCCCCAGTGTGGGGTGTTCAGGAGGCAGCCAATCAGTGATTCTCATCATTGAAGTTTCTATCTCTCTCTTCCTCTCTGAATAAAAAACCTGTGTGGCTGTGTACCAGTATCTCCATGCAGTATGTGTACCTGCTGCAGGTGTGGAATCAGTGTAGAGACATCCAAGTGTGCATGCATAGGTGTGAGTCCACCACCATACACACATATTGTGCAAACTGCAGCATTGGGCAGAGCATGGGGAGAAGTTTCAGTTCTGTCCAGGCCTGCCCCACTCACCCCAACATCCTGCGGAGTGGCTCCCCTCATGAGCACAGCCATTGGCGCTGTAGTGTCCTGTGGTATCCCATGTAACTCAGCATGTGAAACCCGGCAGCTGTGTGCCTGAACTCTGACAAGGGTATGTTGGTGTGTGAACACAGTGATGTGTGTGTGAATGCCGGGACTCACTAAGTGTGGGTGTAGGAGCACCCTGGTCCCCAGTCCAAGAGCAGTGGATTCCTCATTCTCTTTCGCACGATTCCCACCCGCTCCCCAGCGCCCCCTCCCCGGAATCTGACCGTGTGGAAGGTGGGAGACACCTGTTGGGGGCTGGGAGCGGCAGAGCCCACCGGGGCCTCTCCCGGCGTCCCCGCCCGCCCGCCCTGCCCCGCTCCGGTCCCGCCCCCGCGGCCTCTCCTAGCAAAGCAGTGTGAGCGCAAGGCGGCCAGAGGAGCGCACGGCGGCAGGAGCGCACAGTGGGAGACCCAGCGCGGGAACCGAACGGAGGCAGGGGCCGCCCCGGAGGCGGGCGTAGAGGGAGAGCCGTGGAGACGCCGGGGGCAGCGGGCCGCGCCAAGCTGGTGAGTGCAGCCGCGGGGTGCCAGGAGCCAGAGAGCAGGCGTCGAGACCTCTCCGTCCCCTGTCCGGGGCTCTGTGCCCGCCGCCCTCTATTCCTGCGCTTCGACTCCTTGGTTCTAGTTCTCTGTGTCTCTGCCGCGTCTGTCTGTTTTCCCTGTGTCTGTCTGTCTGTCCCCTCTATTTGCTGTCTCGCCCTCTCTCTTTTTAATCTCTTCCGTCTCTGTCTCCTGCAGCGTCGGTCTTCCCCGTTGTCTCTCAAGCCCTGTCTCCCTAATTGTCTCTCTGTCTCTGTCTCTCTCTTTGGACTGCCTGTTACTCAGATCTTTGATATTTATCTCTTGCTCCCCTCTTTCTCTTACCTCCCCTGTCTCTCTACCTAGTATCTCTGTCAATCTGGCCTCTGTCTCTCCATTCTTGAATCTGCCTGATATCTCTGTCTCTCTCCATCTTGGTCTCTCTCTGTCTCTGTCTCTTCCCACCTTTGTCTCTCTGTCTCATCTTGATTTCTATCACCTTGTCATATTCATTCTTCTCTCTCCCTCTCTGTCTCTCTGTCTCGCTGATCAGATGGCTCTCTCTCACTGTCCCCCATCTCTCTCCGTTTCTCGGTCCTTGTCATCCTCTCTGGCTCAGTCTCTGCCTGTCCTCCATCAATGCCCATTCCTGTCTCTTTGGCTTTGTCTCTCTTGCTCTGTCTACCTCTCGTCAATCTCTGAGAAAGCTATCTTTCTGTCTTTTTCCTTATGGCCTCCCTGCACTTCCCTGAATCCATGACCATCTCCCCTTGTGTTGGAGGTTGCAGGGGCAGCGGGGCCCAGCAACCATAATGCCCTCTCCCACAGGCGGCCCTTTCTTCTGGACCCCGCCTGGTGCCAGCTCCCCCACCAGCGGGGGGACTGCGCCTGGAAGCTGTGATGGAAGCCCTGCAGAGGCAGCAGGCAGCCAGACTGGCCCAGGGGATGAGGCCATTGGCCCCTCCACGCCCACCACCACCACAGCCTCCCTTGCCTGGCCCTGGGATTCTGCAGGCCCTTGAGAGGGCCTCAGGGAAGGTTGGGGCTGAGAAAGAGGAGGATGCAGGAGAGGATGAGGAGGGGGAGGAAGCTGGAGCTGAGAAAGAGGCAGCTGAAGAGAGTCGTCCAGAAACCCGGGGGCCCAGCTCACCTTCCAGCCAGCCCCCTGGACCTCATCCCCATGAGTGGACCTATGAAGAACAGTTCAAGCAGGTAGGAGCCCCTCACTGTCAGGCCCTCCTCTCTTCCTCCTTTCTGAGCCAAAGCAGAGCCTGGTCATTAGTAGCCTACCCACCCCTGCTGCCCTCTGCCCTCTACAGGATGGAAAGACAGAGACCAAGGCCTGGAGAGAGACAGTGGAAAGATTGAAGGATAGTGACAGGAAGGGAGAGACTCAGACACAAGGAAAGAAGTGCATAGGCAAATATTAAGAGGTGCAGGAGACACCCAGAAACATGGAGGCCAACAGATTGGAGGCTTTTGGTGAGGTTACCAGGGAAAGTGGGAGGGATGTAGGAGCCCTTAAGCATTCTTCTGAGGGTGGGGAATCTGGGGACTAGGCATTCTAAAGTCAGCAGCATCCTACCCTAACTTCTCACACACCGAGTCACAGGGTCATATTGGGCTGCCTGCTTCTGTCTTTGGAAGTAGAATGGAGGTTGCCACTCTTTTGGTATCCCCCTCATCTCTTCCCTGTCACATTCCCCCCACCCAAATCCTCTCACTGCCTGAGTTCTGTGGGTGACAGTTTCCAGCCTGTGATGGCCACTACAGGCGCAGTGTGGCCAACGGGCCACCGTGCAGCTGGGAAGGACAAGATCTTACTCATAGGGCCATATTTGAGTGAACCCATCTGGATGTTATTCTAAGGCACTACTCCAGGCTGTCACTATGAAGGTATTTGGCAGGGCTGTAACTCTAGGTGTGCTATTCTGGTGGTGTTACCTGTAGGGCAAGCACGTCAAACTTGCGGCCACTGGGCCGCACGCCTCGTTTATTTAAACAGTGTAGGGTGTTAGTCTTGAGTATTTTCCAGAAATGTTCACCTGTGGTGAGTAGTCTGTGGCATTAGTGTATAGAGGAGTGTTACTCAGGACTGTGTTACTCTGGAGATATGGCTCTAGCGACTGCTTCTCCTGGGTATAAATCCGGGGGTTATTACTTGGAGAGTGTGTATGTTATTTGTGGGCATCCATCTAAGGGCTCAGTTCTTGTGGGAGCATAGACCTAAAGGTGAATCGCTGAGGTTTGTTACTAATGGGGTTTTTACTGAGTTCTTATTGGGGGATGGAGTGTTACCTATAGGTGTTACTCAGGGACTCTTACTCTGGGGTAAATGACTATTACTCTAGGGATTGCTCCTCCTGGGTGGTATTTGGGAAGCGATATTGGAGGTGGGGCTCCAGGCAACTGGGAATGTGTGGGATGACCCCCTGGGCCTTTCAAGTCCTGACCCCACCGGTCCTGGGTGGTGCAGGGCCATTGCCTCTGTGGCAGCTTCTGCAGTGGGAAGGTCACTGTCCCTGGAAGGAGATCAGACTAGATGGTGGGGGCCCTGGTTTCAATCCAGGAGCTTCTGAGCATCCATCCTGCCTGAGGGATGGGTTAGAGTCATTATCCCCAACCCTGGCAGAGATGTGAAAGGCAAGAAGCCCTTGCAGGAATGACCAAGAGTGAATGAGGGCCTCAGGTGTACCTGTCAGTTTCCTCAGTGTGGAACACAGCTCCAGTGTGACTCCCTCCCTGCACCCTGCACTCCCGGGAGGAAGCCGGGCCTCCACAGCTTCCTCTCTTCCCCTACTCCCCAGGTGGGTGTTTGACCTGCCCAGGGCACTCGCTGTAGAGGGCCTCTGCCTCCAGGGAGAGAGAGCCCAATGTCTGGGAGTTCACATTTCAGATCCTACTTACCCCTTCAGCTGGGGACGCTTATTCAGGGTTCAACCTGGGTTGGGGTCCCAGGGGGAGGGAGGTTAGCGGAGCTGGAAAATGACCTGTCCTTCCCCAGCTGTACGAGCTCGATGCAGACCCCAAGAGGAAGGAATTTCTGGATGACCTGTTTAGCTTCATGCAGAAGAGGGGTGAGTGTGGTGACATAAGGGAAAGACCTCCATTTGCCAGGTTTGAGGATGGGAGAGCTCAGGGTTTAGTCCCCAGTCTGGGTCTTCTCTGCAGAGGCCTGAGCTGGGCAGCACCTATCCTTTGGGCCCTCAATAGCGTCTTTAACCTCTGACCCTGCCCTCCTCCTCCACCCAGCAATTAATTAGTGGCCAGCCCACTGGCAGGTTAATGAGTGTGGGATCAATTGGGAAGGTGGGAAGGGGAACTGGTGGGGGGCTGGCCTGATTGGAGGGGGGCTTCCCAGGACTAGGGGGCTGGGAACGCCTTCCTCTTTTGCTGACCCTTCTTCCAGCCTCGTCTCTCCCCAGTTTTCCCTTGCTTCGGGCAGGGGACACCCAGGGTGCTCTGCAGCAGAAAGGACTGGGATTAGACTGAAGGAAGGACTTCTCAAGGGGTAGGCTGAGAACTGTGTGAGTTGGGGCTGTGGAGGAGGAGGAATCAGGGTGGGTGGCAGTCCATCACTTAGGTTTCTCCCCAGATTCATGGGTCCAAAGACTGACTCATTATCTCTCTCTACAAAGCTAATTAACTCACTCCGAGCGTGGCCTGATAAGCTGCTAATTAACTGGCTGCACTGAGCCCCCCTCCCCAGTGCAGAAGCTGGCCAAAGTCCCTCAGGCCCCCACCCCAGGCCCAGCACCCCTGGCGGATTCGTTCCTAAGGAGGGACCCTCATTGGGGCCCAGATCCTTTTGCTCCCCAGGGAGACCTAGTCATTGTGGTCCCAGTGTACCCCCCCCCCACCCGCGCCCCTTCCTTGAGGTCTCCCCTCCACTGGGGGGCTGGGGTAGGGTGGTCAGAGCAGACCCTATCACTCCCCCCACCAGGCCCAGAGCTGTGCCTCCCTCAAGTCCCCTCCCTCGAGTCCTGCCTCCCTCCGCTCCCTCTGCAGGGGGAGGGGGTCTCCCGGGACCGATAATTTCCCCCCATTAATCAGGCCGCAGCTAATTGTTCGGGTCCAAAGGCGGCAGCGGAAGGGGACGGGATCGGTAAGGAATTAACTGGGGCCCATCGCTCAGCGCAGACAGGCCCCTTTGTCAGGACTGGCCGGCGGGGGCGGCGCGGGCTGCGGAGTTGGCGAGCCGCGGCTGGGCCGCTTCCCCCACCCACCACCCTTCGGCGTCGCCCCCGCCGGCCGCTGCTTCGGGGCGTCGGGCTGCTCGGCACTGTCAGGAAGTCCTTCTTACGGTCTACTCCAGGGGTCGGCAGCCGAAAGCTTGGGGCCCACATCTAGCCTCCTGAGAGTTAAGAATGTTACTGGATTTTTAAACAGTGTAAAGACCTGAAAGACCACACTTCCAGCCGTGCGAATTCGAACTGCAGCGTCCGCCAATGACGTTTCATTGGGGCACAGCTGCACGGCTGCTTCAGCCACAGTGCAGGGCGGGGTGGTTCTGGAGAGACCGTTTGGCCCACGAAGCCTGAGCGTTTCACATCGGCCCTTGACAGAAGTTTGCCCAGCCCTGGGCTCGCTCCTGCTCCTCCCGGAGCTCCAGGGGCTGTGCCTAGAATACCGCCTCCCTCCCACCTCTCCCTCCTTCCTCCTTCCCTTTCTCGATGTCCCGCCCTGTACCCCGACCTCGCCCCGGCAGCCTCCTCCTTCCCTCCCCCAGGATGCCCGTAGGCAGGGTCCTATCTTCGTGGCCTGACTCTGCTCGCCCCCCCCCCCCCCCAGGGACGCCGGTGAACCGCGTGCCCATCATGGCGAAGCAGGTGCTGGACCTGTACGCGCTGTTCCGCCTGGTGACGGCCAAGGGCGGCCTGGTGGAAGTCATCAACCGCAAGGTGTGGCGGGAGGTCACGCGCGGCCTCAGCCTGCCCACCACCATCACCTCCGCCGCCTTCACTCTCCGCACCCAGTGAGGCCGGGCGGGCGGGGCGGAGGGAGGGGCCGGGGAGGGGCGGGGCGCGAGGCGGCTCCGGGCGCAGGTCCCGGTCCGCAGGCCCGGCTTCCCCAGCGCGTGTCCCGCCCGCCCCCAGGTACATGAAGTATCTGTACCCCTACGAGTGCGAGACGCGGGCGCTCAGCTCCCCCGGGGAACTCCAGGCCGCCATCGACAGCAATCGGCGCGAGGGCCGTCGTCAGGCTTACACCGCCGCCCCGCTCTTCGGCTCCACCGGGCCGCCCCCTCGGGGCACCCCGGGCCCCACCTCAGGTCCTGGCTCCGCCCTGCCAGCGCCCGCGCCCGGCCCCCGCCCCGCCCAGGTCTCCGCCTCCGGGCTGCCGGCGCACGCCTGCGCGCAGCTGAGCCCGAGCCCCATTAAGAAAGGTGTGAGGGGCGAGGGGCTGAGGTTTAGGGGTCACCGAGACCCAGGGGTACGCTGAGATATAGGGAACGTTAAAATAGGGGGACTATGGGATGCGGGAGGCATTGAGGTATGGGGCAGTAGGGACTGATGGGGCACTGGGATTTGATGCACTCTAACCTTAGGGGTCGTGGGGTTTGGGGTCAGTGAAGCTTTGGGAATCCCGGAGTAGGGGTTACTGTGGTACACGACTGAAGGTCCTTTATCCAAAGCAATTCCATTTTACACCTGTTCACCCGGGGTTCTATTTGCATGTGGTTTGTGCCTTCTGTGACCTGGATTATTTAACTGAGAACAGGAGATCCTCCACATTCTGGACCAATTTAGACATATATTGATTGGCCCTTTGGGTCCTGGCTGATGTGGCTCAGTTGGTTGGAGTGTCCTCCCGTACACCAGAGGGTGGTGGGTTCTATTGCCGGTCAGGGCACATACCTGGGTTACAGAGGCAACTGATCTCTCTCTCTCTCTCTCTCTCTCTCTCTCTCTCTCTCTCTCTCCCCTCCACATCTCTGTCTCTGTCTCTCTCTTTTTCTTCCCCTCTCTCTAAACAACAACAAATCAACATATTAACCCTTTGGGCTCTCCAGTTTCAGAGCCTCTAGGCTGAGACTCTGGATGGGAGTGGGGATTGAACTTGGTGCTTGAACTTGGGTGACTGACCTCCCTTGGTGCCAGGCCTGGGGAGAGAACTAAATGCAGATACTGACTTGATTGGGTCAGGGGAGCTGAATTACCTATTCTTCCAGAAGAGAGTGGAATTCCAACCCCTCGACTGGCACTGCCCGTGGGCCTGGCCTTGGGACCTGCCCGGGAGAAGTTAGCACCAGAGGAGCCTCCAGAGAAGAGGGCTGTGCTGATGGGGCCCATGGACCCACCTCAACCTGGTGCACCCCCAAGTTTTCTGCCCCATGGCAAGGTTCCCCTAAGGGGTGAGGAAGGGCTTGTTGCTGATAGGGTTTTGGGCCTTGCACTGTGGGAGGACAGACCTATTACCTGATAAGCATTGGAGGTGGGGCAGATAGATCCCTAAATAGACAACTGTGTGATTACAGGTGTGAGGCTGAAGTCAAATGGGGGGTGTGTATAGGGATGGAGCGGGAAGCTTGTAAGTCTGAAGTCTGATTCCCAAAAATGTGACTCCCCTGCCCTTTCCTGGACAGAAGAGCGGCTGGATGGGCCTCTCAATCTGGCAGGCAGTGGTATCAGCAGTATCAACATGGCCCTAGAGATCAACGGGGTGGTCTACACAGGTACGGGTACTGCATGCTGTCTGCACTGGCATGAGGTCAGGGGTATTTACATTGGCATGGGGATTTTAGACTTTTTCTACTTGCATGAGATTCAGGGATATCCAAACTTGCATGGGTAATATGGGGTTCAGGGGATTGCTACATTGGCATGGGTTAAAGGGTCTGTCTACATGGCATGGGGGTCAAGGCATGACCTCTCTATGGTTACCATGGGTACCATGGGATATCTGCCTTGTCATGGGCCTATATATCTGTGTAAATATTGTTTACCTGTTCGAGGGTATCTATATTAGCATAGAAATCTCTGACTGACCCAAGGGGTTTGTCCTCCTTGGTTTGTGGCAGAGGTATGTGTGTGGTGTTCTAGCAATCAGGTCACTAACTTCCGTTTCCTTCTTCTGTTTCCCTGTCATCCCCTCTCCTGCTTGTATTTTCCCTCTTCCATCTCCTCACTCCTTTGGCAGGCATCCTCTTTGCCCGCCGCCAGCCTGTGCCAATTTCACAGGGCCCAATTAACCCTGTACCCCCAACCCCTACAGGGCCCCCTTCCGGCACCTCACCCTGAGAGCTCCCACTTTGAATTAAGAGTCCTAGCCCATTGCTGGGTGGGGGGAGACACCCCCTCCACCTTGATTCTTCCAGAGGGCCCACTCTAGGACCCAGACCTGGGAGGGGACTCCCCCCCCCACACACACACACATGCCATGTGGACTTGAAGCCAAAGGTTTTCTTTTGGTGTTACATCTACCTCATTGTAAAGGGAGGGCACTTCCTCTCTGGCCAACTCCAGCAGCATCTACCAAAGAGTCCTGCCCCTAGAAACCCCCATCCTCTCCTCACTTTGTCAATGTCATGTCTAGGACCCTACCTCTTGGAGTCAGACCTGCTTCTTCTCTTCAGGAGCCATATGAAGGGTTGGATTGGGATGTTGTGGAGGAGATGTCCCTCAGGTCACATCTGGATAATAAAGCTGTAGTCCCTCCCTCCCCAGTGCCTCTTCTTGTTTGTATCTGGGGGTTGGAAAAGGAATTGTGTGGTTTACAGGCAGCGTTGGGCCAAGGGTTCTCAGCGGGAAGACAGAACAGCAAAGGCCCATGAGAATAGAAGAGCTCAGTCTCATGAGTCAGACTGCCTGAGTTCAAATCCTGATTCTGCCACTATAGTACTGAGTGGCCCCACCGTTTGAACCTTATTAGACGCTAAAAGATGATGCTCCCTATTGATCTATAGGAATGGACCAACCCTGGAATAATGAGTGTATTTATATGTCAACTTCGGGGAATGAGGTGGAGAAACCTCTTTGGTCCACGGAAATTAGAAGAAGAAAGGTAAAGGTGGTCTTGACAAACAGGAGTGGCCGTTGCCTAGGTAACCAGACAGCTTTCGACTCTCTTCACCCGCCCAGCCGGCCGCTTCCGGCACTGAAGGCCTATGACGTGACATCACTTCCTGAATGGAGGGGAGCCCATGCCCTCGGATTGGCTAGCCTTCTCCATTTGGACGGACGTCCCGCCCTCCAGCTGTTCCGGCTGAGGCGGGGCGGTAGCTATGGCGGCTGTGCCCGCTGTGCAGCGGCTGCAGGCCCGCGTAGAGGAGCTGGAGCGCTGGGTGTACGGACCGGGTGGGGCGCGCGGCTCGCGGAAGGTGAGCGATTTGGGTGCAGCGGTCCCTTTCTGAGGCAGAGACGGGCGCTCTGCTGGCCTGTGCCTGGATCGGTGCGGTTCCAGTCCCGTCGCCCACAGTCCGGCCTTTGAAATACAGGTCCGAGACCTCCCGGAGCATTTTGGACCCTCGGGGCCCATGCCCATGCCGGGAACTGCGGAGCTTTGGGCCCGTCTGAAATGGGCTCAGTATGGACCGTGACTCAGACTCCGCTCCTGCCCGCTGGGGCGCCTTGACACCCTCGGGAAGCTGCGGTCCACAGGGAGGGGTGTCATGAAGCCCTGTGTAATTAATTCTAAATGAATTGTGCAGAAAGAGGTCCATGGGATCAGAGGAGGCAGAGCAGAGTTGCCCAAGGAAGGCTCCGGGGCGCGGGAGGGTGCGGGGGCTGGGGTGAGAGGTGAGGTCTGAGAGGACTGGGATTAGGAGGGGAAGGGATCGGATACCGGGTTTTCCAATGTGGACTGGCGCGTCTTCACACCAGTACCTGAATTTTGACAACGGTGAAGCTCAGTTGTCCTCTTACCCCCTTTTTACTATGGGAAGACCTTTTTTTTTAAAAAAAAAAATTTATTGATTTTGTTACAGAAAGGAAGGGAGAGGGATAGAGAGTTAGAAACGTCGATGAGAGAGAAACATCGATCAGCTGCCTCCTGCACACCCCCTACTGGGAATGTGCTCTCAACCAAGGTACATGCCCTTGACCAGAATCGAACCTGGGACCCTTCAGTCCGCAGGCCGACGCTCTAACCACTTAGCCAAACCGGCCAGGGCAATGGGAAGACCTTTTACTGAAGGTGGAGTGTCGGGGACATCCCGGATTTAAGTGCATCAGAGGGAATGACATCTGTACACTCCTGGGGAAGTAGTTGGTACCAGCAGATTGTGCCCCATTTGAGAACTGACTTCGCAAAAACATTCTCTCCCTTTGGCATCTATAATGCTAACCCTCCTGGTTTTCCTTCTGCAAGGATGGCTGTGTTGCGCAGTTTTATTTGCCTCCCCATATAATTGACCCTTGAATTTTGGGTGCGATCATTCACTGCCATTACCTCTCCATCTATTCAGCCCTTAAATATTGGAATTCCTCATCCTCTACCCTTAAAGTCTAGGTAGGTTCGGTCAGAGAGGTGGGAACCAGAGAATATATAGTATATGCCAGTGCCCCATAAACTCTAAAATAGCTCGTTATCTCCCCAATCGAACTAGAAACTCCCCCAAGGAGTACATGATTATCTCCCTGCTCACACTGAGGATTCCTGGAAGGTGGAGCTACATCTCCTTTAATATAAGAACAAGTGACCAACCTAGATTTCTGGGGCAAAGAGGTTTGGGAGTCTGAGGGAATGCGGGTTCTTTACATCTTCCAAGCCTTGAACCAGGTGGTGTATCTTGGAAGTAACTTTCACTCCCCTTACAGGTGGCTGATGGCCTGGTCAAGGTGCAGGTAGCTTTGGGGAACATCGCGAGTAAGAGAGAGAGAGTGAAGATTCTGTTCAAGAAGAGTAAGTTGCTGTCGGGTGCCTGCCTGCCTTCTTCTTTTCCATGCCTGTACTTCCTGAGGACTGGCCCTGGTCCTGCAGCCCATTAGGTCGCTGGAGTTGCCCTTCGGGGATGGAATGTGAAGACGTTTCCCTGCTGAAACGGTGAATTGGGCTGTGCTTTCTATTTTGTGGTAAAACTCCAAGCCCATGACAGTGTCCCAAGTGATGGGATAAGAGCTCTGTCTGAAAGATCCCTTTGGTGAAGTATGGAGAACAGGTATGGGATTTCCACAGGCAAGGTTCAGAGGCGGGAAATTAATTAGGCACTGGAGTCCTAGCCTTGGCTCAGCCAGCAACCTGCCCAGTAATTAGAAATCAGATAGAGCTCTGGTTGTCTTGGTGGCACTGAGGGGCAAGGGGCCTTCCACCCTTGGTGAACATAGGTCAGTGGGAATACTGAGGGCCCCAGCATGCTCCAAGCTCTAAAGTTTGAGGTCAGCCAGCAGGTGATCAGAGGGGCGAGACAGGGAAGTATGGATAGGAGCCCTGGTAGAGGCCTGCTAATGGACACTGGAGGCGTCAGCTCCTCACTGAAGGCTCTCCCCAAGGTGGGCCATTCCCCCAGTATCCTTCATAAAACAGACCCTCACTCCCCAACCCTAATCCATTTTCCATCTTGCTACTTTTCTAGTCGAAGACCTGATCAAATACCTGGATCCTGAGTACATTGACCGCATTGCCATACCTGATGCCTCTAAGCTGCAGTTCATCTTAGCAGGTATGCACGTGCATCTGGGGATGTGGATTGTGGGGGAATTTGGGCACAGAGGTGGCCTCCCTGCCAGTCCTAATGGGTAAAGCCCAGGAAACTGCTGTCTGGAATTCTGGCCATCGTCTGGGCTGAAGCTGAGGTGGTCCGGTGGTTCTTGAGTAGCACTGGATGGGGTGTACTTCTGAACCAGCTGGAGGCCATGGTGCTAGCCACAGTGGGAATGACTCCAATGTTCTATCAATGGTCTACTTCTAGAATTTTCCTTTAGAACCTTTCTCACTTCTGCTCACAGAGGAGCTTCTAGGAAAGGGTGGGGGTAGAGAGCATTGCATTTGGGAGAGGAGACTATTGGCATGAGTTTCTACATCTTCTTTTCCTATGAGAAAGCTCTGGGATTTCAGAGTTCTAGGCAATGTCTGCGCATCAGTCAGTCAACCACTCCATGAGGCAGGGTTTGCCAAGCACCTGTGCTTGTTCATTCATTGAAAAGATTTTTAATAATCATCTACTGCATCAAATTCAGGAAATCTCTTGCACTAACTCTTGAATCCAGCCCCTCCATCCCTCCCTCTGGCTGCTTCCTCAGTGTTCGTCCACTCACACATGAACTGTTACAGTTCCCCAAGTCCTCTTTTGACCCTAGCTTCCCTTCTTGCATGTTGTCCAGTGTCATCTTTCCCAAACACATTTCCAACGTGCCGCTTTGTCTACTGGGGAACTTCAGTGTCTCTTTCTTTCTCTCCTTGCTAGGATAAAAATCCTAAACCCTTAGCCTGCCACTCAAAGCCTTCTACAGTTTGCTGGATCTCCCCTCCCATCCAGCTCTGTTTCCTATGCTCTCCTTTGTCCAGTTCAGCAACTTAAATTCTTTTTCTGCTACTCATTGACAAGCACTCTTGCTTCCAAATGTTTGACCTTACAGTCCTCCCTTCTTCGGTGCCCTTCCCACTCTTTGCAACCATTGAAATCCCCTTCGCAGGGCCATGCTCTCCTTATTGGACTCTTCCGTGACTGCCCCAGTTCTCCAGAGCCACAGAGCAGAACCGGCCTGGCCGCGGCCACGTCTCCTCTTTCAGACCTTTCCTTCCCAGGAGCCCTGAGTGTGGGGTCCTAAGTCTGAAGGAATTTGTCTCCTGTGGCCTCAGAGGGGCTCACAGAATTTGTTGAGGCTAGAGGAAGAGGCCTTCAAGTTAAAAATTGTAGAAAAGTTGGATTTGGAGAAACTTAGAGGCTCCTTGGGCTCAAGATGGGTCAGACCAGAGGCATTCAGGGATCTGGGGGCAGAATGGGGGAATGTGCACCTTGAGAAGGGGGCAGTGGGCAGTAGCTCCAAGCTCCAGGACCCAGCCATCTCCCCTGCCAGGATCTCAGCCTCTTGCATTGGAGTAGCAGTGCCCAGGCTTGCCTCACTGCCACTATCTTGTCTGTTTATCCTCAGAGGAGCAGTTTATCCTCTCCCAGATTGCACTTCTGGAGCAGGTGGAGGCGTTGGTGCCCATGCTGGACAGCGCTCATATCAAAGGTACCTCTCCACTACTCTGCTTGGGGAGGTGGGTGGATGGGCGGGACTTCCCTGTGCCTCAGGTTCCCTGGGCTCAGGCCAGGTCTGCTCCTTGTTTTTGTTTGTTTGTTTGTTTTTCCATTTTTAATCCTTATTCAAGGATATGTTTTT